CTCAAGGGTCCTCTAATTTCCCAAGGGCGAATGCCGTGAACTACTATGGTGAAATTTGCAACTTATTTCAAGACAGCTGATAGGTTGCAACAAAATTATATTGATGCCTTGTTTTTCTGTTTATGAACAGAAATTTTAGTTGAATTTTAACTATGGACTAAAACCGTTCATGCTATAGTTTTGCACAAGTGAATCAAATTGTCAGTCTACACATTTTGTTGTATTCTATACTCACTTTGAGCAAAGAAACGTTCAACCTTTAGCCTAGCTCACAGATACGGGTACGTCACACGAACTATCCAACATAGCAGGGTCCTCAGCAAAGCGTTGATATGAAACACTACGCAGGAAAATTAAGTAAAATGAATTAAGGCTGAAGTACACCGCATGTTTCAATGCAGTGTATATGGTAATTGAGGTATAATGAAGGAACACACAAGGATGTATACCGCGAGTTCAAAGTGTTTACCATTCGTTGGCGTTGCATTTATGATACACATTAGGAACCTACTCGGCTGCTGACCCGCAAGTCGCGGGTTCGAATCCCGGCTTCGGCGGCTGCATTTCTGATGGAGGCGGAAATGTTGTAGGCCCGTGTGCTCAGATTTGGGTGCACGTTAAAGAGCCCCAGGTGGTGGAAATTTCCGGAGCCTTCCACTACGGCGTCTCTCGTATTCATATGGTGGTTTTGGGACCTTACACCCCACATATCAATCAGTCAAATTAAGGAACCCTAAGTCGCCGAAATTTCCGGAGCCTTTCACTATGGCGTCTCCCATATACATATGGCGGTTTAGGGCCGTAAATCTGAGAGATCAATCAATGAATCAATTGATTGATCAATCATTCAATTGACGAATCAATAAATAAATTGATCATTACTCAATCAATGATTTTGTGATAAAAGTGGTATCGTTGGAGGACCGAGATAAGCCGAACCGCCACTAACGACTAGCCATCAGCTGTTATTCTTTCACACAGTGTTATTGAGTTGTCTCGCAGTCATTTGGGGCGTATTGTGTGCAGACAGCCGATAAGCAGCACTGCAGATATCGACTATCAGTGTAGCCTTGAACATTTCGCTGTGTAAAAGGAACATGACGTGAACCATATTACAACACTGATCAACTGTCTGCCCACTTTTTGTTTAGCTTCTTCTTTCGTTTCCCTTATGCTCTTGCATCATATATCTATCGGACGGCCATGCAAACTGGTAACACTTTAGAACCTCAAGATTCTAGGAAGCGCAAATAGGTCGGTTGAGCTCACCAGGCAGTTCTCTTACACCCGGATTAACTTACATTTCAAGGTTCGCGTAGATAGCCACTCCGGACATTTGTCCCTTCTCGGTTAGTGAAGCCACGCGTGTCCTGTTTGAAGCATATCTGCCTTTTCTTTTTTCTCACTACGAAAGTGCCGCGTTGAGTAACATAGTACACTTCTCGGAAGCAGGCCAAAGGAATTGAGGTCGTGTCATGCGATAACAGAACACGCGCTCGACAGGGCAGACTTACCGTACCACCGCCATATTTGTGTTCATGAAATTCACTCTGTGTTCTATAAGGATGAACGCGGTGAACCTGTAGCATTAATTGATTGATATGTGGGGTTTAACGTCCTAAAACCACCATATGATTAGGAGAGACACCGTAGTGGAGGGTTCCGGAAATTTTGACCACCTGTGGCTCTTTAACGTGCGCCCAAATCTGAGCACACGGGCCTACAGCATTTTCGCCTACATCGAAAATGCATCCACAGCAGCAGAATTGAATCCCGCGACCAGCGGGTCAGCAGCCGAGTACCTTAGCCACTAGACCACCGCGGTGGTGCTTGTAGCATTATTTATGTTTATATTGGTTCTCAAGGGCCCTCACCACTTTGCGAACAATGACGAGAGAGTGCTTAAATTTGGGCCTTCACTACCTTTTTACAGCCGGCATCTCCTGCTCCTCACCCATTTTACCCTACATCACGTGTAAAATGCGCCACACTTAGCGTGGAGACTATCAGAAGCCTGCGCTCATCGACTACACCACGTTATCTCCGCTTGCGCAGTCGAAAACACGCAAAACGAAGTGAAATGAATTGATAGCGCGCGATATTTATGCGATACAGGGAACAACAACGGGTTGGTTGATACATAGCAAAGCGGTGTAAAAGACACTTGAGAACTAATATTTTGCATCTATGGACCAATCGAGATTATGTGCCCGAATGACGTCGCGTGGATCACCGTTCTCGCATCACGAAGTGTGCACAGAAATTCGAGAAATTCCAGTAAAATAAGGCGCCCTTTTTTTGTATCTTCAGGGGCTGGTTAGGGGCCCTAAATTTTTTATTTGCTTACTGTTCTTTATTTGAAATTCAATTTTTACTGTTGTAGTAAACTTTAACAGCCCACGAAGCATCTCAGCGTTAGCAATTTCTAGGTCTCGATAAAAAAACTGGCCTCTCTACGATAGCTGGTTACATGGTAAGGTGAACCACCACCGTGGTATGGGTGCTTCGCTCCTGACTTGAAAGTTGCGAAATCCAATATTCAGGGCATGGCAGCCTAACTTCGTAGTAGACGAAACGCTACAGCCCATGTGCTTAAAATTAGGCACACGGGTAAAATACCATAATTTTAAGTGCCAATGCTTTTCTTAGTCGGGCTAAGTCAGGCGTCCGCTGGCATCCATCCACCCCCTCCTGCCATAGCAACAGCTGCGGTCACGCGTCCTCAGCAACCGGAGTTCCCACTATGTCGCGCTTCAGCGTCGGCAGCCGTCAGCAACAGCTGCGGGCACGCACGCTTATCCTTGCCCCTAGCAACCGGAGCCTCCACCTGCTTTACTCGAATGTGATCTGCCACCACCTCAATGCAGTGCATTTGAAACGTGTTTGTAGCGTTTGTGCTGCCGGCGTTCGTGTAGCGTTTGTGTTGATAAGACGCGGACATTATGGCTGCCAGGTACAATGACAACACAAGCAGGTGCTGCTCAATAAGTAACTAAACGGTTACGGTACACATCCTCATCTCGTCATTATTGACGCCAATGAAATTACTACGCCGTGTACTTTCGGAGCAAGAAATGCCTTCGCTTTCCTCACAATTCCTTTCCAGAAGGTGGGGGAATTTTTTAACGGGTTTTGTCAATAAATATCGTGCTTTTGGAGCGCAAAGCCACAATAGTTATTGCTGGGTGACGTGCCAAGTTTTAGAGGGAGTGCATTTAAATCCTGGTGGCGGCCCCCATATCATGGCGGGGCACCTGTGCCTCAATATGTATGCGGGTTAAATAACTTTAGGCAGTTGAAAAAAAAAAAACCAGATGCCCCAACTGCAGGGTGTCCCATGTGTGCAAAAACAACATCGTGGTATGAGCCCTCAGATGACGACCAGCAACATATTTATTTAGCATACTTCATTGTCTTTAGGGAAAATTAATGAACGCGTGACCTAACCGAGAAGTTTCTAACATTCCTGAAGACCGTGAATGTGGGTATCGCGTGTGTGTATTAAATGCACGTATAAGATTTCTTTACTCCGCGCAACAACCGAAACAGCCTGCATTCCTCATGTTAACAAACATCAGATTTTGCGTAAGTTGCCAGTTTTAGTCGCACAAGCCCTTTGTTTCCCACACTGTGCTAAATATGACGGCAATCGCAAAGTCATTATGTCGGTAATCTGGTGTTTTGATGCACTTCAAATTTTGTATATCGCCACTTCGTCGCTCACTTCAACTTCATTTAGTTTCAAAGGCGAAATGAGTAGTTATTAATTAGCAGAAAAAAACTGTCAGTATACCTGATGCCCCCATTCCACGTTAAAAGGACTGTTTACCACTGAGGTAAACCTGAGCTATTCGTGTGGAAGTTATGTTACGTGCTTTATTGTGCCGTCGTTAAGTAGACGAGGCTGTTACCATCATGGACGAAAACTGCGTGGCAGATGAGGAAGCGAAGGCTCTCATAGACAAGTCTAGCTCAGGCGCATCAGACCCCGTAGTTCCTCCAACAACTAAGTGCAACAACTAAGCTGCAGAAAAAAAAGAAGTACCATATATGTAGCAGCACCCCAGAATAATAACGCATCAATTGTTAAATTTTATCCTTGACCCTGCACAAGAAACAATGTTATGTATTAAATTTATCAAACGCGCTAAGTGTCTTTCATTTTCGAAATAAAAAACTAACACTCTTTATAACTACTTTCAGGGTTTAAGCAATGGTTGACACATTTCTTTAAATCTGCAGCTTTTTGTTAGTTACTTTAACTGCCAGCGATTCTGAAGTTGCAATAATGCAGGAATTTTTTTATTCACCATCTATTTGTATATGCGTCTCTGGGTGTGTCGTTCGCCTCTTTCTATGTTGAAGGTATTCAGTAGCAAAATAAATCAAAGCACAAAGCGCGCAGAATTTTTCACTGAGATTGAGTTATCTTGTTGTGGTGCTCGTATAAATATAGTAACAATGGAGTCACAAATAAAAAAAAAAGAATGTGCCAGTACTACGTCAGTCTGGTATGAAACGATGTAGTAACGTTGTGTAATAAATATTCAATAACTAAGGTCAGATCGGTCTTTAGAAGAAAGACGTAACTTTTAGCGCACTCGCTGACACAGTATAAAAATTTCATGTGCTGGCATACAGCAAGAAAGGCGTGATTTCGAAGCCTGTACTGAAAACACACAATTTTAAAGCTAACGAGAAATCGCCACACGAAAATACGCAATTTTAGTTGTGACCTGACCCCAAAACGCTCCCTTTTACCCTCTTTTTTGTACTTCTAACAGTTAGGGCTTGGTAAGTTTGTTTCAAGACGAACTCACCCTTCCCTTCAGAGATGCACCCGCACGTATGCAGTTTGGGAAGCTGCATTTGCCGCAAATGACTAGCGTGCAAAGCACGTGCTTATGCAAAGTGTAAGATGTACTAATTACAGACTGACACCGAGTGCTCTCCTACGGCATATTGGCGGGAGTGTCGCGTTTCAACTCGCCATCACTCACCTCTAGCCGACACCGGCCGGTCCCGCACCGAAGCAGCCAGGACTTGTCCAATCGGCGTAGCGCCAGTGAGCGCGATAACTAACACTGACACAGGTAGGAATACTGTCGTTGAGACCATTCTTCCGTAGGCGCCCGTGTTTCTTTCCGCCTTAAACCGAATGTCACTTCCACTGAGTCGAATGTCGCTCACGCGCTATATAACGTCGCCGTAGCCGCGCCGCCGGCGCCGGCGCTCGAGTGGACGGCGCGAAGTTATGAAATGATGATGTAAGGGGAGATTCAGTTGACGACCTCGGCGGTCGCGTACGAGAGCTTCGTTTGACGCGCGTTACTCGTTGGGCAGCGCTGCTATCCGGCACCGTACAGGGACGCCTCTTTGCGTGATCGTACCGGACGAGAGCCGCATGCCGTTTCCCGTATACTAAGGTCGGCCGCGATACCGCCCCGGTCGTCTTCGTTCACCAGACGAACGAACGAACTCCGGGCGAGATAAGTTAAATGGCCTGCGCTTTGGCGCCTTCCCGTATTTTGAAACTGGTCGCGAACTCTGTTCGGCGTCTATCGGACCGAGGAGGAAGAGAGGAAAGACACATGCACGATGTCTAAGCGAGAGATGGAAAGGAAAAGCCAAATAGAAACAATCTCTCTCCCGTTTGGCTTGGTGGTTCTATCCACCACAGTCTACTTTTGTTTCCAAGTGCACAGCGTAGGTTTTGCGTCAGAAGAATAGTTCTTTTTTAATAATGAGCAAAAAACACGATATGAAATTGGCATGGGTTGAAAGACGTGACCTATTTCTGTCGATAAGGGCTCGAGAAAGCAGAAACAGCTCTATCGGCATTATGAAACGCCAACCTAGTGGTAACATTAACTAAGCACATTAAAATTTAACTTGACGAGCAAACACAAAGTATATAGTTAGCTTGTTTAGTCGGTGTTCTGAGGCGAATGGGAGTTTCTCCACAGCGCGCTTGCACAGCGCCTTACCTGTTTCAATTGTATGAGCATATGACATACACACAGGAATTACGCGAACAAGGAATACCTCTGTTCGCCCCATAAACAAATTTTCAGAAGTTCTTAGAAACCGGCAGTGTAGGCTGAAATGTTCTCAAGGATGTTTTGTTGTTTCGAGAAAGGCGCGAAAGTTTGATAACCTATGTCCTATTAAATGCGAAGCATTTCTTCGCAAACTCCAGCGACTTTGAGCGTATCTATTTATCTATCTAGCCGCTTATGACATTTAGCTCTCCTGGACCTTTCGATAATGGTATCGGTACCAAACTTGGTATGCCATAACATGACTGCACGAAGAACCCATTACACTATTCATAACATGGAAATCATGAGAGGTAAGTCATGAATGTCATAATTTACATTTCATGGTCCTGCTGCTTCTGCGGTGGTTTTGTTCACATGACATGTGGCAAAACTAGTATGGTTTGACATGACTGTACGGCAAACACAAGCGACCAACCCTAACATAACAATCATGACATGCGTGTTGTGTAACAACATGACTACATGCCACACTTATGATTTGCTCGCAGCCGTTTCGCTAGCTTCGCATTTACGAAATTTGGTATTACGGGACGTGAATGGATGACGAAGGTATATCACCGATGGAAACATAATAATCATGAGATACGTGTCACGTGAAAACATGACTACATGCCGCGCTCGTGATGTGCTCGCGGCCATTTTGATAGCTTCACGTATACCAAATTTGGTGTTACTGGAGTTGAATGAATGACGAAGGTATGTGACTGGTGAAAACATGATACTCATGAAATGCGTGTCATGTAACAACAGGACTACATGCCACGCTCATGGCGCTCTCACGACTGTCTCGCTAGTTTCACTTACACCAAATTTAGTATTACGGGACGCCTATGAATGATGAAGGTATGTGACTAGCGAAACTTGATAATGCTCAGGTGCGTGTCATATAAGAACATCACTACATGCCACGCTTATCATGCGCTCGGGGCCATTTCGCTAGCTTCACATTTAAAAAAATTGGTATTACGGGACGCGAATGGATGACGAAGGTATGTGACTGGTGCAAACGTGATAATCATGAGATGCGTGTCATGTAACAGCATGGCCACATGCTACGCTCATGATGCGCACGCGGCCGTTTCGCTAGCTTCACATATGCCAAATGTGGTATTACATCACGTGAATGGATGACGAAGGTATGTGACTGATGTAAGCCTGATAGTCATGAGATGCGTGTAATGTAAGAACATGACTACATGCCACACTTAAAGGGGTCGTGAAACGCTCGCTCTAAAGTGACAATGCGAAGCCAGCGGCGTCGACACACACTAACTAGGTGACGTCATCATAAGAAATGCTTTGCTATCGAGGAACGCGGAACTCTTCGGTACTTGCGAGTGCGTGCAATCGGGACACCCATCAGTGTCTTTGCCATACACAATCGGCACTGCCTTGAACTCTGACGTCATATTAAAAAGCGTTCTTGTGGGACACGGATCGCGTATGGCAGACGCCGATGAGCGCCTCTTCCGCACGGCCGATAAGCCATATTTAGTTCCGCACTCCTCGATAGGCAAAGCTTCTATGCAGGTACAATCAGGCTGATGATATAGTTAGCGCGTGTGGCTGCCGATGGTGTCGCATTGTCGTTGTAAAGTGACCATTTCACGACCCCTTTAAGGCGCCAACACACTCCGACGTGACATGACGCGAGTGCGCTCCGGCGTTCGTTTTGTCACGTCACGCCAGCGTTGCCACGCCAGGCGCCGATCTGCCTGCCATATACTCGCAGGTGCGTGCCGCGCTGCGTTCCTTTGACACATGCGCGTTTAAGTGCGCCCGGCGTCCCTCCATCACGAAGAGAGACAGACGCAGTGCTGTCTGGGTAGAACTGCGTAACGCCATCGTCGCGGAGTGCAGCATGTTGCCTATCGCGCCGGTTGCCGCCGGGCCGCGCCGACGGGCGCCTGTCGCGCCGGTCTCGCCTGGCGTCGTACTATTGAGTGCTCGCGTTTTGCTAGCGTAGCGTCACTGCGCCCAGCATGCGTGCATCTCAAAGTTACGTCGGAGTATTCCGTCATTCCAGTGACGCAGGCGGTGCCACGTAGCCGTGCTGCGAAGCTGTCACACGGCGATAAAACTGCGACGCAGTTCGGTCTCTCAATAGTCATGAACCAATGAACGCGTTCTTACGCTCTGCGACGCTGACGTAAACGCTCACGACATCACCATCTCGTCCGCCATTTTGACCTCCCGCTGCGCCGCCCATAGTCGCTGGCATGACCGAATATTGGCCCTTCATGATGCATTCGCGGCCGCTTCGCTAGCTCCACATATACCGAATATGGCGTTACGTGACGTCAATGAATGACGGAAGGCATACGACTGGGGCAAGCATGATAATAATGATACGCGTGTCATGTAAGAACATGACAACAAAGCACGCTAATGATGCACTCGCGGCGGATTACATATACAACTTTGGTATCACGTGACGTGAATAGAGGCGAACGTAGATGACATTTCTAAACATGATAATCGTGATATGAGTGTCATGTAAAATATGACATCATGCTACGCTCATAGCGCGCTCGCGGCCGTTTCGCTATCTTCACATATACCAAATTTGGTATTAGTTGACGTAAATGGAGGACGAAGGCAAATGACACGTTCAATTATGATTATCATGACATGTAAGTTATGTACGGCATTATTTACTTCCACCTCGTAACGTTGTACTGATATTAAAGTGACATATCAAAATTCCTCATTGCTGCTTCGCATATGAATGATTCCCACTGGACGTGGGATCTGCCAATTTTTTAGATATAGATCTCATCTCAAAACTTTACGAAATTGAACAGTTTACACATTAAGGCAATGTTAGGTTCCTGCCATCTTTCATTATGAAAGCCGCACTGTTCGATTAATCATTCACCTTCTATCGATACATACGTCTGTCTTCGGGCTGCGTCAACATGTCATGGGAGCCGTGAGTTGGCACTGGCATGTGATATTTCATTGGCAATCAAATAACCCTGAGAGTTTATGGGTTCTTGTAAACCGAGCTCTATTGAAATTGAGAGCCATTAGCTACGCTACTCATGAGATCACTGTCTTGAGACAGCGGAAGTTGCCAGGAGGAGTTTTCTTCATAGAAAAAGCTAGGTTATGTCCAGTGTCGCAAATGCATCACGCACTTGCGTAGACCACCATGTTCTAATGGAAGCGCTGCGATCAGTAGCGTTGTTGACGTTAGTACATCGCGTTCATTGAAGTGACCCAGTTTGTTGCTATATCATAAATTTACGCATGAAAAAGAAGCATATAGGAAACCCCATTATTTTAGGTGTGATGCCAATTAGGGACTCAAGCAGGCGTATTCTGTCGTCATCTCATGTACCTTGACTTGACTATTGCAAAATTGCGTTGAAAAATAAAAAAAGAGAAGAGCCAATAATAACCTGATGGCGCTGGTTCTTTCTTATGTACATAATATACTTGCACAAGTGAGTGTGTACATCGAACATCTTTGCATATCTCCAGAAACAAGCATGAAACGATCGCACCACCAGCTCTCAATTAGTCCACTATACTTCATCTTCCTTTTCTTAGCAGTGAAATACATAGTTTTATAAAGTTTTTCATACTAGAGCATTCTAGCTTGCAACTACAGCTGAAAATTTCAGGATATTATTAGGGAGAGAGGAGGAGTTGCTCTACTCAGAGTTCTCATTATCGACAATAGCGGAAAAGTTTATAGCGCTGATGAAAGAATACAATACGCCAACTGATGATACTTCGAATTGCAGTACTTTCATGATGCTTCACTGTAACTCAAGCTTCACATTTCACCCACAGAAACTTGATTTAATACATTATAAAGCATGCGAATGCTCTCACGGATCCCCACAGGTTCTTGTGATCGCCAAAGCGCGTGCAAAAATGTGCAGGGTCTACTAACTAAAGAAATTCACAGATGTGCCAGAAAGGCGAAGCAACGAACGCGAAAGCAACAAATTGGAAGGTCACACGCTGAATCGCAAGTATATTGAAATTTTCCCCGCGTTTCTCACGCACAAATGACGCACGAAACGTACACAGAGGTACAGATGAACGTGAATAAGCGTCTCAATTGTTACTTAAAAGCGCGCCCTTTTCGCATACGGAAACTCTGCAACAATTGCAGTGACCTTTGTGAGCCCAGTCGCTACGAGAGAAACGTGCAACATTTCTTTTTAACATCTTTCATTCCCCTCACCTCTTTCCCCAGCACAGGGTAGCCAGCCGGTCTAAGAACTGGCTAACCTCCCTGTCTTTCCACTTAAACTTTCTTCCTCCTTCTAGTGAAAGCCCAACGCCAGCCAAGACGTGCGACCGTCTACGCCGTGATATAAAGGCACTTGAGTGAGCATCAATCTTCTCCACTTTGAGAGGCAAAGTAGGCGTGGGAAATAGGAACGCGCGCTGTCGC